ACTGTATTTTTCTGTGGGATTGTGATGTCTCATTACACCTGGCATAATGTGACTGAGAGTTCAAGAGTCACTACGAAGTATGTCTTATCCAAAGTTGTCTTATGATGCATCAGGACGTGTTCATTTTTTAATTCTCTAAATATTACCCAAGTACCCAAATTATTACAGGCATGCTTTCGCAACCTTGTCATTTGTTGCCGAGATTTTTATCTTCCTTTATGTTGGTATGGATGCCTTGGACATTGAGAAGTGGAGATTCGTTAGTGATAGGTATGTTTTCATTTATAGTTGTGCTTCATCAATTCATTCAACCTCATCCCTCTTGGAATTTATTCTCTCAGTACTAAAATTGTGTGATGTAAATGCTGTGTTGAAACATTGTCTCTTTGTTGATCCTGACATCTGGCATTTGACTATAATTTCACTTTTTACAGCCCCGGGACTTCTGTTGCTGTGAGTTCGATACTACTAGGTCTCGTTATGGTTGGAAGAGCAGCATTTGTTTTCCCCTTATCCTTTGTGTCCAACTTATCTAAGAAATCACCTCATGAGAAGATTGGCTTCAGGCAGCAAGTACTTAGTTGTTCTAATTGTTATTGTTTTTGTTCTGTATTAGTATCATTTCCTTTTCTCTTTATTGATCTATCTGATACATAAAACTTCGATTCCTTTTCAGTTTATAATATGGTGGGCTGGTCTGATGAGAGGCGCTGTGTCAATGGCACTTGCATACAATAAGGTACTGAGTGGACAGATGCTGATATCAATAGTTCTATGCAGATTGATCTTATATGTTAATGTATTTACAAACTTTTCTTTGTTAAATAATTGCAGTTCACAAGTGCTGGGCACACCAACCTAAGAGCAAATGCTATAATGATCACCAGCACCATCACTGTTGTTCTTTTCAGCACAGTGGTAAGTGATTTCGTTAGTTGTGAATAACAGAAAATTGTGTTGGCTTGATTTACTGATCTGCAGAAAACTTTAAAATTTTCTTTCACCCTCTTAACATCATCTATTCCAGATAGCTTCTTTTGCCAATTTGATCTCCCATAGGATTAGAATAGGAACTGGTTATACTGGTTTTTTGGCTACAGTGCAAAGAAAAACAAGAAATATGAGTTATAATGCAATACTATTTTCAGTTTAGCTCCGAGTCAACGGACTGTTGTGGTCTAACCGGGTGTTCAACAATAGCTGCATCAATGACTGTCTATCATCTCTGATGTTTCTTTTTCTTACTAGCAAACAGTTTTTGGGTATCAACTATTGGCAATATTATTATTTTTATTTGCAATTGTCTGCTTGTTCGGCAAATTGTATGAGATGCTGTTCATTTTGGTAACAATTCTTCTCTGTGGTCAGGTGTTTGGTTTGATGACTAAACCTCTTATAAGTATTTTGCTGCCTCATCCAAAATACCAATCAAGAAGTTTATCATTTTCGTCAGATCCAGCTACTCCAAAATCATTTACAGTGCCACTTCTTGGAGAGGGGCAGGACTCCTTAGATGATCTAGGTGGCCGTGACATTCCCCGTCCAAGCAGCTTACGTGCACTCTTGACCACTCCAACACACACTGTTCATTACTACTGGCGCAAATTTGATAACGCCTTCATGCGCCCTATGTTTGGTGGCCGGGGTTTTGTTCCCTTTGTTCCTGGCTCACCGACAGAGCGGAATCCTCCTCAGAATCAATGGCATTGAAAAGAAAGCCAAGCACGATGTACAAAGTATTTATAAGTTGTAAGCATTGTGAGAATAATGAAAGCCCAGCTACATCTCCGAACCTACTGCTGAAGATTTTGACAGGATTTTGACTTTCTTGTTTGGAAAGCAGTGTATCATATTTTGTAATTTCCTTTGCGATGTGGTATATTTGAGCTGTCAGATTAGGAGTGCCTGATCATTTTTCTTATTGACGTTGTAGTTTTGTGATACTGAGAGCTTAAACTTAACTGTTGTTGTGTTGCCATTATAATTATATTCTTTTTGTTGGTTTTATGTAATGCATTGCCCTTTTATTCTTTTCTAATCTTGAGAATGATCTATTGTATTGCTCTTGGTTTTGATTCAAGCTGGAAATTAATCTGCCAGAATCTCTATTTTTAGCAGGACCTTGTCCTGATCCAGATGGACAAGCAATGCTGCCTGCGTCATGCTACTATATCGCGATGTGATATTTACCGTGGAAATTGCTGAAACATTGGCGCTCAGACATTTGCCTAGTAGGGATTAGAGCTCTCAAGAGTCGATCTATTTCTCCAAGTACCATATATAGCTGTGATTGTTGATGATGTTTTCGAGCTGTCGGTCCTCTTCTTTTAGCCGCATTAGGATCTAGGAGAGATGCCAATAGAGTTGCCAACGCTCTAGCTGCGGCTTTTGCCATGTGGGTTTTTGTTTATGGGTAGAAAACACAAGGTTTTGTATGTTTTTTCGAGTTCCTGCCATCCTCCAAGTCCAACTCTTGCCATTAGAGGGTGAAACTTGCAAGATTTGGAGGTATAGGTCTCCAGTTTATTAAAGGTTTTGTGGGTAAACTATAAAATCAGTCCCTCTAGTTTTCAGTAATAAACTAATTAATCTCTCTAATTTTAAACAATAATTAATTAATTTGTTTTCCATTTAATATTATTTTCCATTTTTTTCAAAAATAAAGAGATTAATTTATAATTTACTCGATTGTGTGGGGTTGATTGTGGCTCACGATATATATATATAGGAATACAATTAATCTCTCTTTTTAAATATTATTCATTGAAGAAAGACGAGTGCTGCATGCTAAATTGGTCATCATTTCGGTCCAAGTTAATATGTAGATTAAATTTGACAACTATATAGTTTATTTTGTTATTGTATAAGTGGATTGGATGATTATTTGATAGATCTAAAATGATAGACTTTGAAACAACTTACATTGAATTAACTTTTTTAAAAAGAAACAACTTACATTGAATTAACTTTTTTTTTTAAAAAAACCCTAAATGGTGTGGCAAAAACACTTTGGTAAAGTTGTGATTTACTTCATATTAGAATAGTAAAATTATGTCTTTGTTCTTGAATAAAAAAATGATATAACTGACCCTGAGGAATAATATTTTTACCAGGTCTATTTTTCATTTTAAAATTGTTATGGAGCATCCCAGTTTTCTCACAATTCTTTTACAATAGAAAATTACTTGAGTATCCTTAAAAGTTAAAAAAAAAAAACACTTAACTATGGTATAGATATACTTTTGGTTTTTTGCTTTTTAAAGAACAATGCAATGGCATGGAAACAAAATTCTAGCATGGCTTCAGGGACTTTTTCATAATTTTATAAAGATTTTTTTGTGTAATATTTAATTGATCTAGGAGCAATATGGTAATTTGATAAATAAAATAAAAAAAATTGTTGAATGGATTAGTCACTATACTACTTTTAAATGGGATATGTGATTGATTTTTTTTTTTTGGCCAAAATAGTTGTTCTGTTGCATCATTTGATTCACTTTGACAACATTTTTTTTTTGGTGGTGTATGCATGGTAATCCTGTCTATTTTTATAATAATTTTTTTTCCCCTTCATTTCTCATTGACTTTAAAAAGATTCACAACAACACTTGATTTTCTTCTCCCTTTAAATTTAGTCGTCGTTCTTTTAGATATAATTTTTTATTTGAAAAAATTATTTTAAATTTATTTTTTAATTATTTTCATCTCTTAGATTCAATTTTCATTCTTTTGATTGTCCTTTTTATTTGGAATGATTTAAAAAATTGATTTTTTTCATGATTTCATCCTTTATTTTTCTTTCTATCAGGTTTAATTCTTATTTTTTTATTGCTATTTTTTTGCTTTGACAAGTTTTATAGATTTTTTTTTAATTTTATACTTTAACATTAAATTAATTGAGAATTAGACTTATTAATTGAGCTTGAATCTGAGATTTTATAAGTTATTATTTTAAAAGATTAACTCGAGTTTAAAAAATTTACTAGGTTAATTTAATGTTATTAAATTCAGCTAACTTAATTAACCAAGTTTAGGATTTTTTTTACTTTTTTAGAAGTCTTAGTGTCACCTTAACTTTGTTCTTCTTACATCATGAGGTATTTGGCCAAGCTTGTTGCGTTACTCTGGCCATCGATAAAATTTTAATTAGGTTGTTTTTTTTTTAAAATATTTTTTTTACTTTTTTTATCCTTAATATTTGATTCATTATAATTGAGACTTTTAATTTTTTTCAATATGAATTTCATAATTTTATCATGATTTCACATACCAAATCATGAGTTTTATAGGTTAATTATTATTGACCTAGCTTAATTTAATGTGCTCCTATCTTAATATTTTTTTAAAAAAATCATGTCATACAGTATATCATCATTTAAGTATATTAAAAATATTTTTACTATTATACATGGAATTTTATACTTCCTAATATCTTAACATTCTCTTAAGGTTAAAAAAGAAGAAGAAATGATATGCAATGTAGCAGGGGACAAAAATCTAGTTTGATACTCTAAAAAATTAAAATTTTGTGTTATTAGACTATTTAATATGCCATCAACAATTTTCTTTCCTAACAAATTTTAATGATGAAGCTACCATTTCTTGCGATAATTTTTGTTTTTTTTGGGGTTTAGTTGAAGATTCAAAGGATTTTCGAAGATGTAATGACCATAGTACCCCTCCCCTCCTCCACCTCTACATCGATTTTAATTTTGATCTGAAATAATTTTTAATCCTTTATTTTTATCTATTTCCAAATTGAGCCAACTGATGTTTGACTACGTTGAGTCAGTCTAACGGTACTTCTTTTTCCGTTGGAGGCTTTGAGCTCTAAATATGTAATGAAATTCTCTCAAAATTATTATTATTATTATTGCAATTTTATGCATCTTGGAAACCAAGAAACCGTAAAAGAAATAAAAATAAATTAATTCTGATCGAAACCTGAGAAAGCAGACGTCCTGTTTCTACAAGGATTTACTATTGCCCGCCCCCCCTATAAATATTTCCATCCGGTTTTTCACAAAAACCCCATAATTATACTCACAAGTGAGTTTCTTGCCTCCAAATCTCTATATCGTTTCCGTTTTTTGCCTACTGAGTTAGTTTCTTTGCATTTTTGGATATTTCTTGAGTTAAGGAAGAAGAAGTTGAAGAAATAAGGGAGAATCAAAGATGGTGTGTGGGTGTAGCCTGAGTGATGGCCACCATCATGTTGATGGGGATTTTAAGAAAGGGTTTCTTGAGAATAGAGAGAAAGAAACAGGAGTTGAAGAAAAAGAGTTAACTCCGGTGCAAGGAGAACTCGTGGAGGCTTTGGTGTGGTTCAAGGAGAGAAATTTTACTACAAAAGAGTCTTTGAAGGCTAAGATCAGCACCATGGCCAGTTGCAGTGCCCATCAATCTGTGAACCCACCTGGGTGTTTTGTACCCAAGAAGAGGAGAGCATGTGGAGATGGGTTTCTTTCCGTGAAAGGCCCCCTAAGTAATGCTGTTGAAGAAGCCAAAAGTACTGTTACTTCCACTGTTGATGAATTAAGGCTTTCTTCCAAGAAAACCCAAAGTTGTCCTGATCAAGAAGATGCCATGAGTACTAATAGCAGTGTTGATGGAGTTGAGAACACACTTGGCATTGTCGTACCCATGGAAAAGAGGGGAAATCGAAAGAGCAATGTCAAGAAAAGCCATTATCATCACTACGTTTGCTCTCATGTAGATGGTCTGAAATTAACGATTGAGAGGCAAGAAGAGAAAAAAAATGCAGCTGGAAAAAACCCGATCTTTAAACTCCAAAGGATCGAGAATGAGGATGGTCAAGGAGAGAGACCATCTGAGAAAAGAAAGAAGATGGGAAGGGTAGATTTCAATAAGTTAGGTTTGGATCCTGCACCCAATTTCTCTTCCCAAATTAAAGACCGGATAGATCATCAAGATGGCCGTGACAGTGAGATCAAGTTAAGGATCATGAAGCAAGTATTCAAAACTGATATGAATATGCACCACGACCGTTTCCCAATGCCTGTGAATCAAATAAAGGATATCAAAGATTTTCTGAAGGAAAACGAGATCGAGGGCACAGAAGTTAAACTTGTGGAAATGGGTCTCAAAGATGATGATATTCATCAAAGTACAATGAGATTGAGGAAGTGCCACATAAACTCCAATATCTCCTATGTGTTAGCCTCCAACTGGAGTGGTTTTCTGAGAAGAAACGAGGGTGCACTAAAGGAGAATGACATTGTGCAAGTTTATTCCTTTAGGCGTGATGGGAAGCTCTGGTGTGTCCTCATCAAGATTATGGATGCAGATGATGTTGCCAGGAGTACTGCCGCATCCGAGAGAAGTACTGCTCAAGAGAATAACAATGGGGATCATGGTACTGTAGCCGGACAGGCTTTTCACCGGAGTCAAGCCAGTGAGGAAGGTGCCAGAATTAGCCAAGCATAGAGGAGACGATCATCCAAGGGGACAATATTGTTATGGCATTGCTAGCTAATTTGTTAGCTTAATTAATTTTGTTTCATGTTTTTCTTTCTCTGCACTAGGATTTCAGTTTTCTTGCAGCTGATCACATCACATAGTACCAACTAGTTACGTGATCGTGCCATGCCCGTGTGTAAATTTTTTTATATAATAAAAAAAAATTAATAAAAAAAAAATTAAATTAATTAGTTTAATCTGTCAAATCTAAGATGCAATTTCATGAAAGTTTAATAACTAAATAGAAAAAAATTTAATATTAATAAACAAATTAAAAAAATTAATTAAAATAAAAAAAACGCATTGATCTTTTCACCATGAATTGCACTCTGTAATCCAAAATGAAAAAAATAAAAAGAAGAAAAAGCAAAATAAAAATAAAAATAAAGGTATCAGTTTTTTTACTGTAAACTACATATAATATTAAAAGATGAAATCGAAAGAACAAAAATAATAAGGAAAAGAAAAAACAATCTGAATCAACTCGGTTAACCCATCAAATCAGGTTAACCTGTTAAAATTGGAATTTGTATCATGAAAGTGTGATAGCTAAATAAAAAAAATTAAATAAAAAAAACAAAAAACAAAAAAGAAGACAACTCATCATTTCGCTATGGAATGCATTACTCAGTGCATAGTGAAACACTTAACAGTTTTAGTATATGTTATAATAATAATAATAATAATAACCTGTTTCGGAGGACGATAATTTTTGTTTTTT